GAAATCATATGATCAATGGCAAAATCCCTACAGTTTTGTGACGAAACTGGCAGGACATCTAGAGCTAGGGGAGCAACTTGAGTAGCCCCAGCCCAAGCCTGAACCAACCCAAACCAAAATTCTACATGGGCTGGACCTAGGCCTAAGACCCTGTTTTTTATTTATTGTTTGGGCTGGGCTTGGACGTGGCCCTTGGGTAGCTAGAGCCCAGCTCAATCCTAGCTCGATTCTAGCTTGTCTTAGGGATGAATTGGGTTGAATTAAACCTAGACCAACCCACCCGACCCAAATTGCACCCCTAGCTAGAGCACGAGTTGGGGCCACATCAATGTCATAATTTGAATTATCTGCAAACATAGCTCCATTGTAGCTATCCTCCACTGGAGACTTCCTTGATTAAATACCACCTCTGACCACTTAGAGACCTCTATTGATGCAATAAATCTCTTTCTATTAGATTGGCACTGTCCATCTGCTTCACTAATCTCTATGACACTCACAACCTTCTTATTGACTTCTCCCTCATCTTTTACCAACACCTCTTTTCTTCCTTCAACATTTTCATCCCAAGTCTTTCTGCCCACATCAATGAATGACCACCAAAACCATTGATTCATTGGAAACTCATTGATCAGCACCTCCTCTTGTTTTCCATCAAGATTTTCATGCTGTCTTGCCATCCACCTACAACGATTGACCAACAACATCATTGATAACCAATGCCAAAGGATTACTTATCATGGTATGATGCTTGAGTGGCTACTTGTTGAAGACCTTAACCCCTTCCAACAATTCTTTCTCTTGATCATCTGAATTTAATTGAGAAAAAAGAGTTAACGGTATTATTTGATGACCTAGACCCACACTTCTTGTTTCTCAAAGTCTTCAAAAGTCCCTAATTAAAAACCTTCACATCCTTAACAGAACATTCAATTCCCCCCTATTTGGATTAGCAATCAGGTCCATTTTGTCCAGCCCAGAATTGCCTGAACTAAATCTACTTATGTGCCCTTGACCTAAGCCTCTATTTACTATACCTTGGCCACCCTGAACTGTACAAAACCCCTCTATCAGCTCCACAATTGGGATCTCCAGCCTCTAGTTTTCTATTGATGGAACTCCTAACCAACCAAGTACTACATTGGGGCTCCTTGAGTCTTTTGTCCACCCTTCAGGGAATTAATCTCGACAGTACCACATTTCTATCTTCTTGCCCATAATGCCACATTGAGTGCAACTCATCACTAGTCGTCTCTCACATCTATATAACCCTTCTTCCTCTCATTAAAATTATTCCTTACCTGGATAGCCATACATGCCTAGTGTACCGGTGTTGGATATGATACTTATTGGATACAATATCAAATATTGCACTGATACTTCCATATATACTTCAAAGCATTAACACTTCTAAAATATGTAAACTGGTATGTTCTAACAAATTACGCTGTAAAAAGTCAGCACATATTAGAAATTTAATTGAACTTGGGAAAACATAAGTCTTGAGTAAAGACATTAGCTTCAAAAACTAGATATAAACTCATGATATAAGTATATTACGAGATACCCCATACCCATATCCGTGTCTAGGTCCTAGGATTTTAGGAAATGGAGTCATATCCTTGTTCTCGTATCCACGTCTGTGTCTGTATCCATATTTGGGCATTGTGTAGCTCATAAGTGTACAATTTATCTCTTTGATCCCATCCTAAGAACCAATTCTTCTCCGTCCAATATCTGTCATCCAGCAAACACCTAAACTTCCTATGGTCCTGTATGAAAAATCAAAACTTCCCCTAACATCTGCCACATCATCACATCAATCTCCCACCCTTCCAATTTTTTTATTTCCATTCCAACTTCTTGGTTCATTGTTTCAACAACCAAGTCTTCTCCTTCCAACATGATTCTAACCTCAAATTACTACCCAACAAAGACTGGGTTGATATCTATAGGGTTAGAAATTGTATTCATGTCTGAGATTTCTGTGAGAATACTCACGTGCAGAATTTCTACCCATCTCAAGTTCTTCCTATCAACATATAAGAAATGACCACATGTGTCACAAATAACTATGAATATTTGAAAATACCAAGCTTGAAGAGGAGTGCAAAATACTAAAATCCAAGACAGCTTTGAAAATCTATCATTTCTAATGCATCCTACCACAATAACCCAATAACCTACCCTAAGCTCTGCTACATGGCATTGAAGAAAGAACAAGAAAAGCCCACATTCAATGGATTTGATATCTACCATGTACCCAAGTCTCCATTCTCATGAAGCTAAATCAATGAGCACTTCTTCCTTTGGATCAATCCCAACAAACCTTCCAACCAAAGATCACTCTAAAAACTTTAATTGATCTCTTAGAAGATCTGATATCCCTAACTTTAACAGTCTTCACTATTACTATGATGTCCTTTAAAGGGCACATGAATCTCCCATTTTTAAGGTTTCAGATGGGAATGTGCTTTCCTAACCTTTTCCAAATTCTCCCACATGATAGAGAGGTACCTACATAGAACTTTGTTAAAGGAAGAGAGTCAACTGATCACCATTAATCGCCTGGATCTTCCCCTATGGTCAATTAAGCACAACTCTAAGAGGATCCCACCTCTATCTAATAGAGTTCCCTTGCTAGTAGGATCAATATACTATGATGCAACTGACTAAGCCATCCCTGAAGACACTTGCACTATCTAAAGGCCCTAGGTTACCAGGCATAACTACTAATGTTTAGGGACTTTTTTTTTGGGTACAAAGGAAGAACAAAACAAAACTAAAAGAATCCTAGGAAAAGCACTCCCTGATATATATCCACTAACAAAATGTAATCCACCTCCCAGGAAATATTAGAATTTGTGATCAATGATCTGTTGTGCCCTTTGTTTGCAAGCCAATCTGCAGCTTGGTTCCCTTCCCTGCGGATATGTCTAAATATTTAGGGGCTGTTTGATAACGGTTGAAGTAGCCTAACTGAATTATTTGTTGCCTTGTCTTTTTGTGGATAAAACAATTAAATAATATAATATTTGAGGGCATAGTAATTGACTCGACTTCAGCTTCAGCCATTAAGGAACTCTAAACTCCTAAAAAACTTATTCACTAAAAGACAGCGGTAAGTCATTCAGTTCAGCCACTTCAGCTGTTAGTAAATAACTCCTTGGACTGAACAGTTAAGGGGGTAGGAAAGGCACATGCAATACCTAAAAGACCTCGGTTTATTTATCAATGCTAAAAGCATCCTAATAATAACAAAGAAAGGAAAAAGTATAGTAGTCCAATCCAAGGGGCCATTTTTCAATTATCTTATTTGGATTTGCTAAAGTAATTTTATTCTCTTTCTGGCTTGCTTGTTTTGGTTCAGACAGTTCTGAACGTGGCTGCATTTTCTTTGGATGTTTTGATTGTTAGGATCCTAAAATGCTCATCACCCAATGTTTTTTTTTTTTTTTTTTTTAAGCAGTAACCTGACTTGGATATCATCATGCAATGTTGGTGGCCTGGTTTTGGCTATCTGGGGTTTTGGGAAGGGTGGACTTAATATCAACCTAATGTTTGACATTTTTTGCACCGAAGTGTCTGTTCTCAGACTTGAAACTGTTTCTAATGCTTGTCAGCCCAAGATTTTATTACTATACCAAGCAATGGCTCTTTGTAGATATTCTTATTACTAGAAGGTGATGTAACCTCTCTTAATAGTGATTCATGAGCAAAAGGAAAGAAGAGATGATTGAACACTTCATCTTCCATTAGGAGTACATGAAGAGACACGAGCATAGGTTCATTCTACAATTGAAATCCTATAGGTTTTCCCTAAGATGTTGCCACATCTTAGCATTCATCAAGTGCAGAATTTTATATAACAGGTCTATTATTTTTTTGATTGCTATTTTTTTGATCAATCATTTGGAGATTGCTATTATTTTTTATTTTTTATTTATTTTTAGATGTGGAAGAAAAGTAACAGCCCAATTTTATATAACAGGTCTATGCAATTGTAGAAACCTAATCAAGAGAAAGCATAACCATCTTTCTAAATATCCTATTGCAAGCTGGGTCCCCCCTTCTCATGGTTCCTTGAAGCTGAATTTTGATGGAAGTAGCCAGGGCAACCCGGGTCCCTCTGCTTTGGGAGGTGTACTGAGGAATGAGGCTGGAGAGGCTGTCTTACTATACTCTGGCCCTTTAGGTAATGGTAACTCTATCCGGGCAGAGCTGTTAGCTGCAATACAAGGAATAATTCTTGCAAAAGAAATGGGTGTTGAGCAGCTTCTGGTTGAAGGGGACTCTAAGACAGTGGTGAACTGGTTAAATAATCTGGAGAATGTCACGTGGGACTACAAGAATGAGATAAAGAAATTCAAATGGCTGACAAGGAATATGTCTGTAACAGTACAGTGGGTTGGGAGATCAGCTAATGCATTTGCTGATGTCTTGGCAAAACAAGGGACAAACAGGGAAACATTATTCTGGGCGCAACTGTAATTTGTGTCTTTTGTAACAGTCATGCACTTTTTGATGTAGCTTTTGTGTTTTCTGTATGGAGAGGCAGCACCTCACGCCTCTCTAAGGGGATTTTCACGTAACCAATCTTTGAATTAATGGAATATGATTCTTTACTTATCAAAAAAAGCTCCCTGTCTAGTTTGGAGTTGGCAAATTCAGGGTATAGTTTATAATTCTGTTTTGACCTTTAGCATTGCTTTGGATGTGGAGTTACTTCTTTTTGCTTCAATATTTTCTACATGACTACATGTCTTGTATCTTTGGGAAGATTTTCTCCTCATTCTTCTCATCTTTGATATATGCTCATTACTTAACAGAAATATCAAGGAGGAGAACAACTGCAACATCAACAATAAAGTAGATGGATAAGGGAAGATAACGTTCTATCATGAAATAGAAGATCAGGATTCAAACATAGCAATGTCGATCTCAATATTCTGATTTTAAATTGACTGCAGCCCAGAAATAAAAGCAACTGGATAGGCACATTCATCCGAACAAGGAACTCTTTCTTAAACATCCAACCAAGAGCCCAAAGCATACAGGTAAAGGATGCATCTACTAATATCCTTGAATTTGACATATTCTTTGGCTGGGGTTATCATAACATAAACTGAACATTTACTGCTACATGAAAGAAATTCATGTGACATCAGTCTAAAACTTAGCATTAATCATACAACTGTGATAAGATACCAAAAGTATTCCAAACCACTGAATAAGTAACAATTGTACTGTATAGGTTCCAAAACAATAATAGCAGACTAAGATCGTATAGAAAGGTTGAATAAAAAAATTAAAAACGGGAAGGAGCTATGATACCATAAGTTGGGGAGACCAGAGAGAGATCTCAAAAAATGGTCCTAAAATGCATTGCAGGAAATGAGACTGTTAACATGTGGTAGAACATCATCGGCCCGGAGTTTCCAGATCCTCCTTACCCACTTCAGTTCAACATCAGTTGCATAGAAGGATACATAGTCCGTAAAGATTATCACCTTGCCATTTTTCAAGCTGCCAACTGGTTTTACCATACTAAGGCTTCTCTTGTTAGCAAACCTAACACCTTCAAGGACAACACTATGTTGTTTAACCCAATTTCCCTTGTGGAAATCCTTCAAAACCCATATATCAAAACGCGACGTGGTTTCAATTCGAGTCGTGAATGCTAGAAAACCCCCCAGTTCAAACAGTCTATCTTGTTTCCCACATGCAGATACGGGGAGACGTGTCCTGTGAAAAGTCTCATGAACCATGTCCATGGAATGCATATATTCTTTATCTTCTCCATTATAAGAATCCGTTATGTTATGCAAAAACCCTTTAGTGGCAAGATATAGGGAATTGGATCTCCGAAATTCCTGAGGTACAAGAACATGCCTCCATGAATCAGAACCTAGGGTAAGTATATCACAAATACAGCTATCTCCTTGTCGATTAAGGGTTAACACTTTGTACACTCTTGTGCCTGGATGATGAGCAAATCCATAGAACAATGAATATGATCCACTTCTAGGGGGGAGTTTCATGCATTGTTTGGTCACAGGGTTAGCGACGAACAATCCTCCAGCTTGATTGACGCCCTCCAACAAGATTAAACCATTGCAACTAGCATGAATTCGACTTCCAAATCGGAGTTTAAGATTCAAATCACGAACCCTGAACCTCTCTCCTTTCATCTCCAAAAACACGGTCATGTACCTCCAGTGATGGTATTGAACAAGCAACCCAGGTTCAGAGCGAGAGAGATGTTGATCGATGAAATTGGGTTCTGATATAAGCTTAAACCATTGCTTGCAAACCGACCTTAATTCGTAAAGCTTATGAGCCGGGATGTTAACCAGTATGCTGGAGATGATTTCTTCCGGGATGTTTTCCAAATCCACCTTGGAATTCTTCTTCCTCCTCCTCTTCCTTCCCTGGTCAACCATCTCCACAACGCTATCTGGCTTTCTTCTCTGCATTCTCTCTCTCTCTCTGTTTTGACTCCCCCCAACCTTCGTCTCTTTTGACAACTGCTTAAAATTAAAAGTTGGCTTCTTTTTTACTACATGAGAGGCCACTCACTTCAGATTTCAGAAGAGATTCTGGGTCGTCGGATTGGAATCCGATAACATCAGTAGCCAACCTCTAGATATATTGACAGAATCTTTCCTGTTTCACTTCTCAACCTCCCGCGCTTTTTCCACCGTCCCGCGCTTCTTTCATCGTTCTTCTGTTATCGGCTCTGCAGGGAGAGAGAGAGAAAAGCTTTCTTTTGCTTCCTTTTCTTTTGTCATCTGAAAATCAAATTGCCCTCTCTTTTGATGGGAACCGAGTTCCTCTCTTTCTCTCTCTTCCGATTTTCTGATCAACGCCGTTGATTTGGAGAAGCTAGCGGATAAGATTGTCGACAAGGCCAAGGAGACCCTGCTATAGGTTGGTAATGATCGGTTCTCAGTCTTTTCTAAGAAATCTTTCTGAGATGGATTCTTCTAAATGAACTCTTTTCCTTTCTTCCTTCTTCATTAATATTGAAATGTAGATAGATTTTTCTTTTTTCGTTCCGATGTGTAATGAAGTTTAGCATTTGTCTTTCAATGTTACAATCTCTAATTGTGTAGGAAATCACCCATTTACCTTTCATTGCCCTTTGCACTTCATACTCAATGTCGACGCCTCCCAAAACCTCTGAGATCCATGAAGCTCTTTCCGCCATTGAAGGGCATAAGTCTCTATGGGCTTTGTGCGTTTCAAGCCTTATCTCTGGCCAAAGAGTCACAGCATACTTCATATCCCTATGAACCACATTAAGCGTCCTTTCAATCGAATCCATTCTGTGGTCTCCCTAGTTTCCCTTAAGTTGTCGAGCTCGACATAACCCGTATAGAGATCGTTCACCTTGGTGACTACGGTAGCCCTCCACAGATCGAGGGGCAGCCCAAAAATTCGAATACACACTTCTTAAGGTTTGTCTTTGTGATTCCAACACTAGCAGACCTTCTGTGGCTCCCAAGATAAGGTAAAGCAAAGTCCCATTCAAACTCCTTGACCTTATTTTCCATACGGTATTACCATTTCTACCTCCACCATCGACAGAAAGATGCAGAGAAATTAAGCTTCCATAAACCTCCTCAGTCTCACCCTGAGAGGGACTTTCCATTTCCTTCTCACCCACTCCTGAATCTTGCTGACTGCCAAACCTTCTATTATCATAAGTGCCTAGCAAACAAAGCTGCTCAAGAGCTACTTGCCTCTGTTGTTTAGAGGAAGTTTGCAATGAATATGTAAACGAGCAATTTTGGGGGTATTTTGGTCAATTGATACTCCAATATTGTCATCCGTGGAATCCAGGAACCATTTCTTTTGGGAGCTTATAAAAAACATCATTTCTTTGGGGACTAATCCCCCAAGTGGGGAGTTGTAAACTTCTATTTATATTGGGGACTAATTCCCCAAAGGAGGGAGATAACTTGGGAGTTGTGTGCCATTTGCAGTATGCTGGGAGTTATGGAAGGAGAGAAATAGAAGAATTTCTGAAGACTAACACAAATGTTATGACTGTCTTGTTTCGATCACTGGGAAAAAAATTTCGGATTGGGTTATGAGTTTTCCAGAATTTGAAGATGATTGTAATAACTCTTTTAGATCTGGTTTTTGGTCAATTCTAGAACTGGATTGGGGGGGGGGGGAGCTGATGTTAGCTTAAATTTGATGTGTTTTCTATCATTGTTTTTCTGAGTGATCCCTCATCATCCCTCTTTGTACTCATCTTCTTTTTCATCTAATATATTTTTTTTTATTCACTACCAAAAAAAATCCTCAAAGGGAGAGCGTTGTTACTTTGGTATTGACTATTATAGTGCTGGTTAACTGTGATTAACCACCAAAGTGGCCTTTTCTTTGGATCTCATGTAACAAACTTTTATGATTTAATAATCATGTTATTTTTCAAAAAAAAAATTGTCATCCATGGGCAAACTGGGAATTTTAAAGTGTTCACAATCATGACATCATCATACTCAATTAGGTTCTTAACATCAAACTAACAGAAGGGGCCTATTTGTATAATTTCTCTGAAATGTCAAAGGAGAAATTTGGAGAGGTAAAAGTTAGGGGAGGTTAAAGTATTTGTCAAAAAACAGAGGGGTGGTTTAAATTATTTACCTTTTAATTTATGATTCACTTTTTCTACGGAATTGAAATTTGCAGTAAATTCAATTTAATAAGACATAACTTGGTTTTGTTTTACCACCTGTGTTTTAGAATTGCTTTCATATTTGTCTTGTCATTGTCTTGAGATTTAAAATTTACACATCAAATTACTTTATTGTCACACATCAGGATTGGTGGTGCTCCCAATACAAAAAATTAGTAGAACGATAAGGTAGTAAGAACAATTTGAGCTAGAACTATCAATTCGTCATGCATTGGTGCTCCCCTTGCAAGCTTATTGCAGGGGTTGATGAACCATGATTTTGTGCTAGGATAATGGTTGCTGGAGATTTTCAGACATAGTTGTCAGAACTCAGAACTACCAGTTGAGTGGCCATCAGAGGTCAAATAATCACTGGAGAAGACAGTTGAGATGGGCTGAAAATGAGAATTCGGCTGCCATAGCTTGGAGGAGGTGGGGCCAAGTTATACAAAGGTCATAACAGTAGACAAATCTGGACTGTAATCAGTCCAATTCTTTATGCAGATTAAGAAGAAAAAACTGGCAAAGAGAAGAAGAAGAAGAAGAGAAAGGAAGAAAGAAGAGAGAAGAGAAAGATAAGAGAAAGGAGTGATAGGCTATATCTGCTGCCCCACTCATCTATTTATAATAATATTAAAAAGATTACAATTACATTAAAACCCCTACGACTTACATAGGCAAATAACTAATAAACTTGTTAGACAATGTATGCCCTTAGCTCCAATCAGAATGATGTACATTATAACATTTAATGTAAATGAATAAAGTACATATTTGATTCATGTTATTATGGTGTGTTTCTGTGTAATACTCTTAAACTGGACACATATGAGATTCGTGTTAGTTTAGAATCTTCACAGCCATTGGATAGACCTGGGGAGATTTATCCTGTCAAAACTGATACTGATGTGTCGCCAAGTTGGTTGGGGTGTCTTGTCTCAATTGCTAGGATGAGACCTGAGGTACATGCAGTGTGGGTTTTCTTGATACCCTGAACCGGACCAGAATTCCAGTATTGCCTTGGACCTTGGAGATAGATGGGCAAAACTAGAATGTTACACCTGACCCCTAGACTCGATTATGATACTGCACTAGGTGTCGGATTGGGCTGTCTTTGATATGTTAATTAGTGAGATCCTTATAGGGGGTCAAAACCTGGGTATGTTGGGATAGTTTGAGAATTCATCTGAGTGTGTGATCATAGTGACAGGATCAACCCCTTCGTCAGACAAAGTGAATGATCGGGGATGCACTCTCTCTGATGGAAACCAAAACTTTCGGCAGTCTATTTCAACCGTTGAAATTTGTTTTGCAAAACATATATATATATTATTGTTTTAAAATGTTTGCAAAAAATGTTTTAATTCTCGGGATCCATGTGAGTAGAGAGTGCAGCATTGTACCTTGCAGCCGAGGGAGAGGTCCTCTCTTGTCGGGCAGTGTTTGATCATTATGGGCTGAGAGGTTAAGTGTAAAACCATTGTGGGTAATACCTGATGGGCTAATCTTGCATCTGTCCACAGTCATTGGGTTTTTATAAGATGGCTTGACCCAGGGACCATTTGGTGTAAATGTTGAGCCCATTAAGAGCCCACGGTGATGGACTCGGGGGTTCACTGTCCCCTATAGTGAATTCGGCCAGGCCTTATAACAGAGGCTGGGCTGAACCCATGTGGTTGGTGTGTAGATCAATATTTGGGTTCCACGCCACACAAGGATATCCAATTGTGTAGCAGATAGGAGGGTAAGTGAGCAAATGGACTTAATGAGCCTAAAGCCCAAACCGAACCAACTTAATGTGATTAATTAAAAGATGGTGATTTTGGGATTCAGATCAACAGACAGGATAAGGGATTATCCCTATCCATTCAGAGTCCAGATCCAAATAAAGATTTGGATCAGGAAACTCCTAATTAGATTAGGAGGGCTGATCTTTATTTGCAGATAAGATAAGAGATTATACTTATCTCTTAAAGAGAGTCCAGATCCAAATACAAGATTTGGATTAGGAAACTCCTAATGGGATTAGGAGAACYTCTCTTTAAAGGCTATAAATAGAGCAGCAAGGGGCGAACAAAAAATASACAGAAAAGAAGAGAGATCTTCTGATTCACAGATCACAAGAAAGAAATCTTGTAGTTCGACTACTTCAGATTCTACCCTTTCCTACTCTTGCCGCCTCTACTAGTTCGATCTCCACCTGTAGGAGCGATCAAGAAGAGTTCTTGATATTATCTTTTGGGAGAAAATGTAATCAGAAGTCGTGCTCACCTGCCCCCATCGAGTTCTTGCTGAAGAATTCGGTTCTTGCTGAAGAACCATCTTGTTGATTCTGCTCCACCTTACGTTGTGTCATCTTCAGTGGGAGCAGTTTTTGGTATTCTCCTTGGGCGTGAACACCTTCGTTGGGGGTTACTACTACTCCGTATCAGGTATATCCTTCTCATACCTTTGGTTTCAGATCTGGTCTGATTTAGGTTCAAGATTGATCATTGAAAATGCAGTTTTCTAAAATAGGGAATGTGATTCCCACATGGGAGATAGAGAAAATTTTGAAATTTCGCCCAACCTACCTGCAGGGTTCGGCCATCCATATGATGGATCTCTCATCCATTCAAAACTAACAATGCTAACAGCAGCCTAACAGCAAATATAAAAAAGGACTAACTAACAACAGTAATGGGGACCACAATAAATAAAATAACAGCAGTAGTCATTGCTCTACATCTCTATACTCCCCTTCAAGATGGGAATAGATGTTTATCATTCCCAACTTGCGTAAATCTGTTTCCAACTTAGCTTTTGGAACTGCCTTGGTGAAGAAATCAGCAAGCTGCATATCGGAGGCAATATATGGAAGACACACTTCTTGGGAGGCAACTCTCTCTCTAATAAAGTGTCGATCCACCTCAATATATTTAGTTTTGCCATATTGTACTGGATTGTGGGCGATGTTAATAGCAGCTTGATTATCACAATATAGCATCAAGGGTTTCTCATAAGCAATTCCCAGTTCCTTAAACAAGGATTTCAACCATAATACTTTAGCCACACCATGTGCCATAGATTTGTATTCTATTTCAGCACTGGAACGTGCTACAACATTTTGTTTCTTACTCCTCCAAGAGACAAGGTTACCCCCTACAAAGGCACAATGCCCAGAAGTAGACCTCCTGTCATCAACACACCCCGCCCAATCAGCATTCGTGTAGACTTCTATCTTCATGTGACCATTATTTTTGAAGAGTATGCCCCTGCTCGGACATCTCTTCAGGTAAGCAAGATTCCTCTCAACTGCAAGAAGATGAGTGGTTGTGGGATAATGCATGTACTGGCTAACTACACTGATTGCATATGAAATGTCTGGTTGGGTGAGGCATAGATAAAGTAGTTTCCCTATCAACCTCTGAAATAGCCTTGTCTTCAAGAGGCTCCCCACCTTCAATTCTAATCTTGTGGTTCTGTTCAATTGGTGTGTTAGCTGATTTAACCCCTAGCTCTCTAGTTTCCTCCAGAAGGTCAAGGACATACTTCTTTTGAGAGACAAAAATTCCATGTTTGGACTGAACTACTTCAATACCCAAGAAATAATGTAGTTCTCCCAAGTCTTTGACTTCAAATTCTTTGTGAAGCAGTTGTTTAAGAGAGTCAATCTCATGGGTATCACTCCCTGTCACCACAATATCATCCACATAAACAGCAAGTAGAGTCAAGGAAGAGTCTGTCTTCTTAATGAAAAGAGTGTGATCTGACTGGGCTTGGGCATAGCTGAATTTTCCAAGAGCTGGTCTAAATCTATCAAACCATGCTCTTGGTGACTGTTTTAGTCCATATAAGGCTTTATTCAACTGGCAGACCTTCTTCCCTGCTTCTATACTGTAGAATCTGGGAGGTAACTCCATGTATACCTCATCTTGTAGGTCACCATTAAGGAAGGCATTGTTAACATCCATCTGGAACAATGGCTAAGAGAAATTTGTTGCAATGGACAATAACACTATGATAGTGTTCATCTTGGCTACCGATGCAAAAGTCTCCAAGTAGTTTATGCTACAAGTCTGATAAATCCTTTTACAACTAATCTGGCCTTATACCCCTCAATAAAGCCATCAGTATTATGTTTCATTGTAAACACCCATCTACACTCAACCGGTTTCTTCCCTTTCGGTTGATTAACTAGTTCCCATGTATTATTTTTGAGAAGAGCATCCATTTCTACCTTCATGGCATCCTTCCATTCTGGTATTGACAAGGCTTCTTGAATTGTCCTAGGAATGGGAGTGGCAGAGTTAG